GACTGGAATCGAACCTGGAACCTTTCAGTCTGCAGGCCAACGCTCTATCCACTGAGCCAAACCAGTCAGGGCTGCATGTATATTTTTTACATCAACACTTTTGCTAGCCTCTGTTCAAACAAGTGGTTTAATTCAAACATGGATAATATAAATTACTATATTACTTATATCTGTGATCATACAAACATGTGGCACCTTGATATCCCATTAAATTAATTACCTTTGGGAATAATGGCAGTGACCATGATAATTGAATTCTGCATTATTTTCATAAAAATTTAAATAAGACCCTATCTGTTATACTACAGAATATGATTTAAAATCATATAAGATAAAATTAAATAACTTTCAGTCATTCCATAGCCCTAAAAATATTTTAGGAACTAGAAGTACATATCACTAGCCACACCAGACCATTCTTTAAAAAATTCTCTATAATCCCACCGCCATTGTATTTTATTTCATGCTGTAGTCGAGAGAACATAGTGCCTGGCCGGTGTGGCTCAGTGATTGAGCATCAACTTAGAGCCAGGAGATCGGGGTTCAATTGCTGGTCAGGGCACATGCCCGGGTTGCATGCGGGCTGGAACCCAGAAGGAGGCGTGTATGAGGCAGCCGATCAATGATTCTCTCTCTTTCTCCCTCTCCCTACCGCTCTGAAATCAATTTTTAAAAATTCTTTTTTTAAAGATGCCATAGCTACAAGGCATTCTTGCTGCTTTCCAGGGAGGGGCGCTGTTTTGTGCAATCATGCTAATCTGTGTCCTCTAATCTACTCAGAGTTTGGCAGCTCCTTCCAAAGACCCTAGTCATTAATGGAGCTTCCCAGAAACCCTGCATGTAAACACGGTACATAACTCATGGTTGCCATGTGCTTTTATGTGCATCGATTTATGCTGCGAAATCCCCAGCTTCCTCCAAAAATACCTTCCAAGCTTTAAAGCCCCCCAGGACTGGGAAGTGATAAAAAATGTGGTCTCGGTGTCTCAAGTCAGGCGACCAAAGAAAGTGGCTGGTGTCTCCTGCCAACTGGTTAGCATTCAGCTGCTTCAACAGCGATGGCTTCAGGGCCCCTGTCCTCCAGGCCACTGGGAACTTTTCCCTTTTCCAGGCCAAATGGGAGACGGCATCGCTTGTGAGATGCGGGAGCTACACCGAAAGGATGTCAAAGGAGCTAACTTTATATCTAGTCGTTGCACATAATGCAATCAGGGAACCTGAATATTGATTATTAGTGGCATTTCTTGAGATCGGTATGATTTTACAGATATAATTAGAAGGCTATTGCTACTGAAGATTGGCGAGTCCGTTTATGATTTTTATGCTGTGTTTGTTTGCAGTGGATTAGTGCTAGGTGTTACATTTGGTTTTAATATGCTGTAGTGCCTGCATATTTCAATGAATATTGATGAAATTAAAATTATAAGCCAACCAGTGTAGTACTGTGAAAGGTAATGTAATAATCTTCTTTAGGGCTTAAACAAGCCACTTTATTTGGTGTAAATGAACAGATAAAGATATTTGAGCAACTGCATCATCGAATTTTTTTAAAAAATATATTTGTATTGATTTCAGAGGGGCAGGAAGAGAGAGAGATAGACATAGAAACATCATTGATGAGAGAGGATCATTGATTGGCTGCCTACTGCACGCCCCACACTGGGGATCGAACCGGCAACCCAGGCCTGTGCCCTGACCTGGAATCGAACCGTGACCTCCTGGTTCATAGGTTGACGCTCAACCACTGAGCCACACTGGCTGGGCTGCATCATCTAATTTTTATGCTGCTTTTCCCTTTGATATTGAGTCCAAAATATCTAATATCAACAGTCGTAGCTCCTATAGTGGGGGGGACCAACTATACATGTGTCATTTTAAAGAAATCACAGTAGTGAGTATATTTTAAATACAATGAGTATATTTATGTATTTACGTAGAACTTAAATACTAATTTAAAAAGAAAAGGTTAACAGCAATGTGGCAATGACGTAAGCATTATTGAAGTAGAATGTGTTGATACCATTCTTGTTTCCCCGGCTTTGTTAGGAGAAGGGTCAGGATAAATGACAATACCTATTGTGGCAGAAAAGTACACATTACGTGGACACACGGAATAATGGACGCCCGCAGGTCAGCATTTTGAGCAGCAAACATGCAACTCTAATCAACTAATAGAGGCTCCTTCGTGCCAACAAAAACATTTTCAAAGTAATGTTCTGGCTGCGCTGGTTATGGCCCATTTGTGTGCTCTACAGAACAGCGGCGCCTCTAAAAGGGCCAAGTTACATTAAACTCTAATGATTGGGCCTATTTCATCCGAGATGCCCAACGTTATGGTGGGAAGGCTTCAGGTAACAGGCGGCATTATTTCCATACAACGGTGCTCTTAGTTAATATCAGCATAACGCGTCTGCTGGGATGGATCCCCCGATGCCTCAGGAAAATGCTCTCCTTGTGTAAACCATACCCTTCAGCGTGTTTTCCATTTGGCACCCCGTGGCTTTCTTTTTTCCAAAATGTAATGAATGCCTGGTCTAGCTGCAACTCAGGTGAACCTTCATCTTCAGGAAAGAAAAACACACTGCACCCCAAGATTGCAACGTCTGCACAGTCATTGGGTCCTTCTTGTTTCTCACGTTACCCCAAGGTCAAAGTGCTCTGAGTCCCTCATGATGTGCTAGATCAGCGGTTCTCAACCTGTGGGTCGCGACCCCTTTGGGGGTCAAACGACCCTTTCACAGGGGTCGCCTAAGACCATCGGAAAACACATATATAATTACATATTGTTTTTGTGATTCATCACTATGCTTTAATTATGTTCAATTTGTAACAATGAAATTGGGGGTCACCACCACATGAGGAACTGTATTAAAGGGTCACGGCATTAGGAAGGTTGAGAACCACTGTGTTAGATGATCTTGTTAGAAAGTAAGCGAATAAACCAACTAATAACCCCTTAATCTTGATAGCTTGACATGAAAAGATTTGTTTTTAATTTTTTTTTTACTTTTTAAAAATATATTTTTATTGATTTCAGAGAAGAAGAGAGAGGGAGAGAGATATTGAAGTATCAATGATGAGAGAGAATCATTGATCAACTGCCTCCTGCACGCACCCTACTGGAGATCAAGCCCAAAACCCTGGGCATGTGCTCTGACCAGGAATAGAACAGTGACCTCCTGGTTCATAGGTCGATGCCCAACCACTGAGCCACGCTGGCCGGGCTCACATACAAATATTTTAAAGTCTCTGAATTGCAAGGAATTCACCCCATTTTATCTCGCTTATTATCATTGAGCCCTTGAGGTCAGAGGTTTTCCGACACTCGTCTATATTATTAGCAAGATTTTTGAAATAATAGATAGTAAATAGTAAACTATTAATGAAATGCTTTTGGGGCGGGGGGAATTGGTGTTATTAACTGATTTCAGAAAATGACACATTTGTTAAAACCGTTTTATAACCATGCCTGCCATTTTTTAAATTGGGCACATCCCTTAAAAGTCATTCTGCAGTTTGAGAAATTGCTACTCAGGTTGAGTTTGGGTTTCAAAGTATGTTGTCCACAATAATTATTGTAAAAAACAACAACACCCAACCAAACAGAAAACAGTTTCCATTTGACCAGTCTTTTAAAATTCTTCTACAGCTTCAGAATGTCCTTGAGTTTTTACATTTTCCCTCTAAAGTGAATAGACAAAGGAATCATTAGAGTGAATGAAAATAAATTCATTCTCTTTTTTTCAACTTCCCTTAGAAATGAAAAAATATGACTTTAGTTTTTCCTTTTTAACAACTTTACATTCAAATTCTATGCATAATGAAATGACTTTTTTTTATGAGTACATTGTTTCTTGGGGCGGTGGGGAATCAGTGAGAACTGCTTATGTGGCTTTATTTTTCCTCGACATGACCTGGTTTTAGAATATGTACTCCAATTAAATAAATGGATAAATATTGCTTCTCCTACTCCGAACACGTGACATAGTATTATAAGTAAGGAGTGCTGTAAGCAACCTAGTGACCCCAGCTAAACTACCAAGTGAATTTGACAAATGAAAACCTGCAGCTAGATTATGTATTTCTGAATAAAAAATAAATTTGCTTTTCAGGGAGTTTGGCCGCTGGAAAGTAAATAACCTGGCAGTTGAGAGAAGAAATTTCCTCGGCTCCCCTCTGCCTCTTGCCCCCGAATTCTTCCGTAACATCAGACTTTTGGGACGTCGGCCTACCCTTCAGCAAATCACAGAAAACCTTATCAAGAAATATGGGACCCATTTCTTGCTCTCTGCTACTCTGGGAGGTACGACTCTTTGCAAATACTTGTGCCTGTGTGTGCTTGTGTGTAAAACTGTATAGATGAAGGAAAAGTGTTGATTAATCCAGAGAGCTGCAGTTTGAATAATTCTAGAATCCCCTCATGAACTTATTCAACACATTCATTGAGTTCTTCCTAAAGGCCTTGTGTGGTGTTGACAATGGTACCATGTGTGGTAGATGAGTATCACTTAGTTTATGTTAGTGATGTTATAATAGTGTGGACAGCCAGAAAGTTACAACATATCCTAATGATTATGAAAACAGATTCTGAGAAAGCTCTGTCTATTGGGCTTAATAATGCCAGTTATTATTGATGCAATAAAAGCTGAAGTAACAGTAGAATATTATTTTCATAGGGTCTCATTTAAAAAAATCTAGTGGTTTCAAAACACATATAGCTCTGGCTGGTTTGGATCAGTGGAGAGAGCGTCGGCCTGTGGACTGAAGGGTCCTGGGTTCAGTTCTGGTCAAGGGCACATACCTCGGTTGCAGGCTTTTCCCCAGCCCAGGCCCTGGCCGGGCAGGGTGCATGAAGGAGGAAACCAATCAATGTGTTTCTCTCACATGAATATTTCTCTCTGTCTTTCTCTCTCTTTACTACTCTCTCTAAAAATCAATGGGAAAATATCCTAGGGTGAGGATTAACAAGACAAAACAAATCACATATAAGGCTTCCCTGCCACTATCAGCAGTATAGGGACTCAGGAGAATTTCAGGGCATAAAATATATCCTCGAAATAAGAAAAGAAGGGACAGAGAGTACACAGAGAGGTCAAATAGTAGAGGATTCTCATGGACATTTATTTGTTTAGTTGCAAAATGATGGTGACTTTTTGATTTGTTGCATTGCATTGGCATTATGGAAGCCACATTTGGGGTTTAAGATTAGTTTTGGTTTTGTAGGTTTTGTGTGAGATTAAATCACTTCTTCAGGTTGACTCTTCCCAGGATCGCAATAGGCGATCTCAAAATTCTGTGCTTCAGTTATTTACAAAGTCTTGCTCAGTCCTTTTATACAAGGGTTGGTGGAATTGCCACCCTCACTCACCTTCTAATCTCTGAGTCTCCAGTGATTTAGTGTTCCTGGTATTTTCTGTTGGAGTTCTTTCTCTCCTCTCACTGTTATTTAGATTTCTCCTCAGGTGTCTGTTGTGTGATGTTAATAATTTAGCTAAAATATATGAAATTATTAGAGTGGCTTATGGATATAAGCTATTTGCAATTAACATGTGTACCAGGTTGATTTTAGGCAATTTTAGAATGATTGCTGTTGTAATTACACGAAAGCTTTCTTGTTGCTGCAAGTATATTTTTATCTTCGTACGTTTTACTTGACTGGGCATGAAATTGTATTACTCCATTTTTTAAAAAAATTCAGATTGGTGGTATATAACTTCAGTTAATTCTCTCTCACTGTCCTTAACTTACTAATACTAGGAAACAACTCCAATGCTAACACACCACGAATGTCATGTGTAGAGCAAACATTTTAAACACATTGCCATTTATTTTGTCACTAGGGACTGCATGAGTAACAAGATTTTCAACTAAATTCAAACATGTTTTAAAACAAGTTGAGTGTAGAATAGTCACTATCAGTATTAGAGTGATGAAAAGGAAAGAAATAAAAATATGAATAAGTAAAAAGAGTAATTTAGGACATCATATTATTGACTTAGACATAAAACTTTGGATAGCAAATCTAAAGCCTTCGATGGAGTATTTTATGATAGATAAAGCCAGCGATTGAATTACCTTCCTATAGGGGTAAATAAATTATAAAAAGCCTTCTTCAATATATATGTCATTTTCTCCATTTATTTCATCTTATAGCTTCCAGGCTATTTATCAATATAGAAACTCAGCTGTTTCTCTTCTTATAATGATATCTAAACTCCATCACTGCTTAAATATCTAAAATAAGCTCTTCAATTTGCAGAATCAATCTTGAAAAAGATTGCACTCTCGGGATATATTGATTCCTAGCCAAGAACTATATTTCATGACTGTTGTTATAATAAATTTCATTATGATAAACATATGACACATATGGAAATAAAAGTGTATCTGTGTGCTGAATATAGACATACAACAAAGAAAAAGGGTCCCGGGTTTGATTCCCGGTCAAGGGCACATGCCCAGATTGGGGACGGGATACCTGGCCCTGGGTGGGGCTCATGCTGAAGACAACCAATCCAACCAATGTGTCTCTCACATCAGTGTTTCTCTCTCTCTCTCTCTCCCCATAAGATGCCATATGGATTGAATATCAATTAATTGCTTTTCTATTTTCTTACATTACAAAGAAATATAAGAAATGTAAATATTCTCATTTAATTTCAGAAATACCCAATTCTCACTTATCTCTGTGTGAATTACATTCTGTATAAAATATCCACAGATTTTCATTCCATGTCATATTCTGCCTACTTTCCACATTGACTAATGGCTGTCTTTCTCCTTTTCACTTGGTCTCTTGTTAGGAAGTACACATTTATTTTAGTTTAGGTTTAACCTAATTAAGGAAGCAAATCTGTCAAAAATATATGTAATTTATTTCTTAAGCAAATACGAAGACTTATTGAAAATGCATGGCACTATTTCCTCTATGAGGATGCATATTCTGTTTTAAGAAAAAGAACTGAAAGGAAAAGAAATGATTTCTGAGGCTTCTTATCCCATGGAATCATTAAAATAATGGCACTAAAGGAGCAAAAATACTGGAATGCTGGTGTTTAAAACTAACTATTTAGCTTGGCCTGTGTGGCTCAGTGGTTGAGTGTTGACCTATGAACCAGGAGGTCAAGGTTCAATTCCCAGTCAGGGCACATGCCTGGGTTGGGAGCTCCATCCCCAGTAGGGGGCATGCAGGAGGCAGCCGATTAATGATTCTCTTTCATCATTGATGTTTCTATCTCTCCCTCTCTCTTCCTCTCTGAAATCAATAAA